AAAAACAAAATAATTACTGTTTCATAATTTGTTGTTTTATTTATGATTTTATTTTTGTACATCTGAATCGGAAAATGTGGATAGATCTCTAAAGATTTATTTTAACTGAATAAATATAATAAAATAAATACTCTATAATTGTTAAAATAAATTATTATAAATAATTATAGTAAACTCAATTGTAGCTGAATTATTACACCATTTTTTACTCGTTGAATGCCCTCTAATGTTCATTATATCAAACTAAAAATTTCATAGCGTTCTTTTCCACCACTTCCACCTAGGCACGAATAGGGTGTGACTATAAAATATTTACCATTTATAAAAATATAAATACGACTGAGAGTATGCAATGTTATGTATAATATGCGTCATCATTTTCACTTGCATATAAATTTTATTTTGCCTTTTTTTTTTTTAAGTTAACTTAGGTAACGCAGTAACCATAAAAAACTGTTTGTTCGACTTTGAATTTTTACTTCGGTCAATACGTAGAAAACCGAACATTAAAAATGTTTCTCTCACCTCAAGCATTTTGTTTATATTTAGGCAATCATTGATTTCCAAAACAACGCACGATCGTTTGTTCAGACGACATATTAAAACTGTCCGGGCAGCAAGTTTTCTATAATTTGTTTACCTTTTCAACAACATATGAAATAAATTAAAAATAGAAACTTTATAATGATATTTGGAATAATGATAAATCGCTTTATAAGATGAGATATTCGTATCGCAGTTTTGACAAATTCAGAGCTGTTAAGGGTTCATTCTGGTTTATACGCCGAAAAAAAGGCTATTTTCACGATTTTTTTTTTAGGCTTTGTTGGATACATATACATATGAAAGTTGTTGGGTATGATAAATACAGTCTAGAAGTACTAGAAAAAAATTTTTTTTTATTGTTTTTAACATTTTTGGACATTCAAAATGGCTGACAAACGTGAACCCTTCAAAAGTAGGTATGCTGTTGGCGGGCATCGAAATTTGAGAACGGGTGATCTAAAACAAAAAAATTAAACGGTTTTAAATTCAGTATGACAATGGCTATCGGGTATGCTAAAACTATCAATTTTTATGAAAACAAAACAAAATGACGGTTATTTTTCGAAAAATAAAAAAATCAACGATTTTTTTCACACTTTTTTGTAAAAAAAAAATAGTAAAAATTAATATTTTGACTAGGTTATAGCAGGCGAGATAGCTACTCATGTTTAGAGTATGTGGTTAAAATTTCAGAAGAATCGGTTAAGTAGTTTCGGAGATATCATGCCCGCTAACCGAAAAAACGTTGTTTCGAGAAAAACGCGTTTAAAGTTTCTTTTAACAAATTTTTAAGAAGTCTGACTTTACCTTATTCTGCGATGCCTGCACCATATAGTATGCCTTCTGCTTCTTCAAAATACTCATTTTCTTCCACTCTAGTCTTTTTTCGTTGTGTCCTAGCCTTTTTTGAAGATTCTCCGCTCAAACGATTGGCTGAGCGCACACGCGTGTTGTCGCGGTTACTAGCGTAATTGACTGCGATAGGGTCAAGTTTTATCACCAAAACGTGCATTATTTTCAGTATTGGATCAAAACCTTCGTTGAATATACAAGCTGTCAATTTACAAGCTATTTCAACAATTTTTTTTACCATTAAATAGGTGTTTAGGCACCATAGCCCAAACGCATTTGTTGAAGCACTCATTATTATTTTGAGTGTGGCTACCTAAACATCTTTCAAGTAATTCTGTTTTTGTCAGGTCAACATCAACCTTTTGTTTTTTGCAGCTATATTGATGCAGAGACATTTCCACTTACACAACCGCAAATGGTTTGTCTCCTCTCTCTGTAATATCTCTATGTGTTTGGGTCGCAAAATAATATACTTAGACTGCTCGGATCGTTCTAAAATTTTTGTATGATAATTTTATATATGTCTACTTTTGAAAAATGCAAAAAAAAAATTGATTTTTTCAAAATGATAAACCAGAATGAACCCTTAAGTAAATAAGAATACTAATGAATTATTTACAAAAATTTTAATATGCACTTATTTAACAAATATTTTATTACAAGACAAGCAGGACATCAAAATCTAGCGGAAGAAATAGAAACCAGAAAGCTTTAATGACTCTTTAGAATTCTTTTAAGTTTTGTATAAAAACATTGATGAAAAAGGTTGCACTAATGCAAAAAAAAGTGTAACAGTTAACAGATGTTTATAATGTAATTTTTTTTTGAAATTTTAAGATTTTTAGTATTTGTTTAAATATTGCTGAATTTTTTTGCTGTATTATTGCAATGTTTAAGATAAAATATTTAATAAGCTTCTTGACTAATCTATTTGGATGATTTATTCTCAATTTATTCTGATCATTTGAGGCACATGTAGCATATGTAATTAATTAGTTATAAGAGAAAAGTACTTTTTATTTTCTTGCAATATTATATTCGTTGTACCTATGAAACATTCATATAAAAAACGATTAATAAATGAGATTCAAATGAATCTTGTAGAGAATAAAATGTGAGCTTTACCCCTTCCTGTGTCTTTTAGCTCGACGAAACTCGAGTCCAAGCGGTAGGCATCGACGAGCGCTAAACAGACTAAAGTAATGTTTGCTTGTAAACTGTTCGTAAATAGTTACAATAAAAAACCAAGTATCTGATCACGAGTCAGACTCGCGATATTAGTGTTTGGGCAAAAATCTTTATCGCGAGTCAGAATCGATAAAGTACGTGAAGGTGTTTATATTTATTTTCGAGGTGATCATCAAATTAAACGAAAAATCCGTGTTTCTGGATAACAATATAAATTTCCTTTAAATTAATAACAATATATATAATTTAAGGTACATTAAAAAGTTAAGTATATACTACTAACTTCTAGGATTGTTTAATAGAAAATACATTTCTTTTAACATTCATATTAAAAGAATTTCAACCTTACGATATATTCATCGATTGAAAAAACTATGATTATGTAATATAAAAATTGAAAAAAATGTAAATTGACAATGTTCAAAGCAGGTTAAAAGAATTTCATAAGATGTATAATCCAATGACATAATAAATAAAAGTCGTAATTTAAATTGATAATTCTTATGGTTTTTGTAGAGATGGCAAAGACTCGATGAGGGATGGATTTTTACTAAGACATTCTTTGCTATGCTGTCAATCAACGATTTGTTTTTTGCTTTATTTGGTGTGATAACATTCCAGTGATTTCTTATAGATTTTTAACGCTTTCCGTGTATTATTAGTCAAAAATAGTTTTTAATAATATCATTCGTATTTCTTCTTTTTATGTTTTTTTCCTTTTAAATATTTATAAAAACTTAAATCTTTGTATTAAAAATAGTTTTTTCAAATTTTTAAAAGTGTAAAGAAAAAAGGGTCCCATTAATTCGCTTTATGATTACTATAGGATTTAATAGCTCAACAACATAATATAGGTACTATTTTGTATAATTTTGTAATATTTTTGTTCATCTAGTGTAACTTCCAAAGAGTTATTTTCTAACAAAGCAAGACCAGTGAATAAATAGAATTATCTCGATTCTTATTATATAAGAGTAAATAAAATAGAGCGAAATTAACTAGAACAGCATAAAATAAAAAAAAATGCCACGTTCATTATACCAATATTTAAAGAATTTCGCAGCATTTATTTTTCTTTTTAATTATTGTACGGCTAATGAAACGAAAAATTTAAAGATACGTACATTGCCAGTTTATGCAATGTTAACAAACACAGAAATTTTAAATTCAACTCAATGTCGAAACGATCTTATTCAATTTCGAGAAGCTGTTGATCGGCAATTAATATGGAGCTTAAAAGGTACGTGAAAGCAATGATATAATTTCTATTATTAGAGATTTTAAACGTTATTGTGAAAGATAATTATTCATTTCAATATAGATAAAATTTTTGGAATGACTATTATATTCAAGAAACGATTTAAATATGTATTTTTAGTTATTTACTTCAAGGAAGGAGCAATATTATAAAAACCGGAAATTTCTTTTCTTTTTAAATATTTTTTCATATGAAATGGATCGACATCAAATTACAGCTGCTTCATATAATTTGCTTTTAACATTAGCAGTATATAAAATACAGCTTCGTTTTTTAATTTTAAATTTATGGATGGATAACTAGTTTTCAGTTTTCTGGAAAATTTAAATTTTGGGATGCAAAAATTGTGTGTATGTAATGTAGCAACAACTATGACTGTCAGAAAAAGATAAATGAACAATTTTTTATAGTTTACATATATATGATGTCGGTTTATAATTTTAATAAAAATATTATATATACAGATTTTACAATATATACAAATTTTTCTACTATATTTTAAGAAAAGGTACCTGCTCATATACGTTGTTCAAAAATGCGAACTTGTCTAAAAAATACAGAAGAAAAGTAGAAAAAGTTTTAATAATTTAGAAAGACTCTACTTACTCAAAAGTATTATTTCCCAATTATGCTTATTTACGACCATCTAAACGATATTTTCTTTCGAAGTCATGCATAAAACAGTATTTTATCAACAAAGACTACAATTTCTATTTTTTTTTTCAAGTAATCGATGCGAGTGGCGAACCTACATCAGGATTCGTTTATGGAAATAATTATTGGTTAGGTAACAAAGGCCAGTGCGAAGATGCAGGAAATAGAAATCCTTTCATGTTATCGGAAGAGATATTACAAAACAATTCGAAATATCGTCATATCGAATATGAATTTCCCCCTTTTGAAGTAAAATTCTTTGTCGCTAATTTTCGACATAATAGCACCTTACAATATCACATTGCAGTACCTGACGAAGTAAGTTTCTATAAAAATTAGATGAGTGATTTTAGAAATTAAATGAAATCTTTTAATTTTTTCTTTTATAGGATTTAATCATATTAGGTATGTGCTTACCAGCATCCTGTTCGAAGGAGCAACTTTCTATTCTCCTAGAAGTCTTGTTGAAAAATAGAACTTTATTTAAAGGCGAACTATATTCAGCTGACTTTACGTTAGTTGAAGTAAGAGATCTAATCGTTGATCATCGATGGTTGTTCAGTGGAACATTCATTACAATGACGTACATAAGCAATTCTTTTATAATTTACGATAATTCATCATGAAATCTACAATATACTTATATTTTTTGTTTTGTTTCTTTTTGTAGAGTAATAGTCGTACTCACATTCCTATTAATGATAATAGGAACAGGCTACGATGTTTTGATATACCAAAAACGTTTCAAGAAAGACGATAATTACCTTCAAGTCCAAGAAAATGATAATTCTCTACATATAGGTAAATTTATTTAATAATTTGTAACCCTTTTGTTATATTTTTGCGTTAGTATCATTCCATAAAAAATTTTTTCTATGTACCTGATCGTCGAATGAAATACAACTTTTATATTTTCCAGTACTTTATACAGGACTTTTTTATTCTAGAGTTACTTGTATAGGTGACTGGTAACAGAAGGGTTTTTATAGTTATTAGTTATTGATAAACAAATCTTTATTTAATGTCATAATGTATATTATTTTAGATTCTACACAAACGCTAGATGATAATGACAACGATCAAATGAAAACATTAAAATCCAGTAGTTTTTTTTGTAAAATATTTCAAGCTTTTTCCGTATATTCGAACTCTAAAAGAATATTTCAAATGGAATCGGATAATACTAATGTATCGATTATACATGGATTAAGATTTCTTTCAATGGTATGGATTATTGTGAACCACACAGTCTTATATTCGAGGACCTATTATGGTATGTTACTAATAATTATAAATAAATTTAATTTTTATTAATATAAAAGATTTCATTTAAATTTATTATGATTCTCTTCATTATTTTACTTACAATCTATTATGTTTATTTAAAGACAATAAACCATTTGTTATAAGAAGATCAGAGGGTTTTGCCGAACAATTGTCATTTAATGGATTCATTGCAGTTGATACATTTTTATGTTTTGGTGGTTTTCTGGTCTCTTACTTGCATTTAAAGAAAGAAATGGACAAGAGTATACGTAAACCCTATAATTATTTAAATATAATTAAATTATATTTTCTTACTCTCCTAAAAAGGTTTATAAGGTAAGAAAATTTTTGGTAATGCTTAGTTTTTAAAAATATCAGGAATAATTTATGCATAAGTTTGTTAAGTATAAAAATGATAAGAGAAATTTCGTTATATCAATAATAATAATATTTTTTTTAACCTGTATATTAGTCGTTAGTAAATATGATCCTTTGTTTTAAAGATCTGTATATAGGTTGACAATAACATAAAGCAGCAAAAAAATATTGATATAAAAAAAGAAATAAAACATACCTGCTACAGGTAATTTCAGAAAATGGAATTTTCATTTAAAATGACAAGTCGTCCTCTATCATAAACCTCAACAAATAAATTATTTTATTAAAACACTGTTTGATAATATTACCGTTTTTAAGTAAAAATTAATAGTTTAACGAAAACAAATAGAATAGAAATCTTTTCTCATTTTGGAAGTTGTCAATATTTATTTCCCGTTAATATTTTTAATATTTTTTGTAACCACCAAAATTAAAAATTAGAGAATCTGTTTACCAAATAGAATTGTTAGAAACTGAATATCAAGAATTTAGTATTACTCAAAATTAAAAATATAATAATTTCAATCTATCTTATTTATTTTTCGCTACTTCTCCTGTTTTAGATTGACACCTACTTACATGATATTTATTGGATTATTGCAAATAAATACAACGTGGTATAGTAAAACTTCCCTCTTTTCCATAACGGAACGTAACCACGAAAATTGTCAAAAATATTGGTGGAGAAATCTTCTTTATATTCAAAATTTCTTTAGTTTCCAGGATATGGTATAAACAATTTCAATAATTTTCGTATAAATTAATTAATATTAAGTATAACATTTCTGATCAATATTAATCTTTGAAGTGTATTAGTTGGAGTTGGTACTTGGCAGCCGACATGCAATTATACGTGGTTTCAATTTTCCTGTTATTCTTATCTTCAATGTAAATATCTTTAATTTCTAATTAGCATATTTCAATATAAAATAAAATTTGAAAGCATAAACAAAAACTTTAGTAAACATAATTTTTTTCAGTTTTTTCAAAGTAGCAGCCAGTTTGTTGGGTCTGTTGTTTACCTCATCGATAATTCTAACTGGCGTTTTAGCCTACATTTATGATTGGACTCCAGCGTAAATATCAATAATAATAATTATACTTATAATTAAATTGAACACTTTCATTACTAGCGTCTTACATATTATTTGTCCATGTAATAACTAGTAATACAACTGGCCGATCAAATAATAGTACTTTTCAGCAATTAATTTGTACAAACGAATTTTATTAGAATGATACTCTTGCCTGAGTACACTGTAATGAAAGTGTTATATAATCAAATATATTAATGTTTTATTGAATTATAGATTGGACAAACAAATCAGTACTCAAAGAATAATGTATTATTCACCATGGGTTAGAATAGGACCTTATTTCGTTGGTGTTATTACTGCATATATTGTTGTTAAATTAAACAAAAAATTACATTGGAATAAGGTAGACAGCTTAAACTAACCGTTTATTTCTTCAACAATTTTTTATTATTAAATATGCTTATCGATGATATTAATGTTTACACTAATGTTAATAATTGATTCTAGAAAACGATATTATTATTTTGGATACTCAGCATTTTGTGCAATTTATTGGTACTTTTTGGAATATATCCGAACAGAATGTCAGGTTTAACTGCTGCTGTTTATGCTGCTCTTAGCAGAACAGTATGGGCAATTGGCATAGCATGGATAATTATAGCATGTTCTACGAACAATGGAGGTATAAATGAATATATTATTCGATTCTTTTTATTTGGATACTATAACTTTCTAATCGTTATTGATTAAAAAATTTGATATTTTAGGTATAGTGAATCATATTCTTTCGTGGAAAGGTTGGACACCATTTAGTAAATTGACTTACGCAGCCTATCTTTTAAATCCTTTTCTTATAATTTCTTTTACCCTTTTAAGTAAAACTTCCGTGCATTTTGATCCTCCAGTAAACGTATGTATTATTCTTTCTTGTTTGATCTTGTCGATAGATTAATATAAAATTTAATTGGGAATCATTATATTTTTTTATTTTCTTTTTTAGGCAATTTCTGGTTTAGGATACGTAGTTTTAACTTACATATGTTCTTACGTTGCTTCGTTGATGTTTGAAATGCCATACACTTTCTTGTTGAGGGAGTTGATGGACAAGAGAAGATGATTCTTATAACTACTATCATTATTGTGATACATAATTTACTTTAAGGGTTCATTCTGGTTTATCATTTTGAAAAAATCAATTTTTTTTTTGCATATTTCGAAAGTAGACATATGTAGAATTATCATACAAAAATTTTAGAACGATTTGAGCAGTTTAAGTATATTATTTTGCGACCCAAACACATAGAGATATTACAGATAGAGGAGACAAACCATCTGCGGTTGTGTAAGTGGAAATGTCTCTGCATGAATATAGCTGGAAAAAACAAAAGGTTGATGTTGACCTAACAAAAACAGAATTACTTGAAAGATGTTTAGGTAGCCACACTAAAAATAATAATGAGTGCTTCAACAAATGCGTTTGGGCTATGGTGCCTAAACACCTTTTTAATGGTACAAAATATTGTTAAAATAACTTGTAAGTTGGCAGCTTGTATATTCAACGAAGGTTTTGATCCAATACTGAAAATAATGCACGTTTTGGGGATAAAACTTGGCCCTATCGCAGTCAATTATGCTAGTAACCGCGACAACACGCGTGTACGCTCAGCCATCGTTTAAATATAAAAAAAATTAATCACTCTAATTTAAAAAATAATTTAAAACTCTCGATTACAAAAGCAATATTCGGATACTCTTAAAACTATAATAATTTGGTTTTTAAATATTAAATATATTTTATTTGTACTATTAATAAATAATATGTTTGACAATAACTTATATATTTTTTTTTTTCATCAAGTATATTTATCGTGATACTCAAATAAATAGGCATTTGACAATTTTTAAAAATATTTTTACTAGTAAATTTTCATAGAGACAATTTTTAATAGTTTTGCATGGAAAGATTAAAAATGAACTATAAACTCAATTTTTTAAAATTTTTCTTCGCATAAATTTATTTTTTTTAAACAATATGGTTTGGTGCCTACTGATTTTTGTATTATGATTTATTAATATGAGATGTTTTTAACTTTGCAGATTATCTCTTAAACTTCTCGATATTGCTGAGTTGAAAACGTTTGAGGTTTCTAAAAATTTCTTTAAACTTTTATTTAATTCCACGTTTCTCAAAATATTTTTTTTCAGAGCTGTCAATAGCAACAAGACTTCCCGCGTAAGTATTTAAACGAGTACTCTGTAAAAAGTAGCGCGCCCTACCGGCAAAATATCTTGTCCTCTAAATTGATACCATTCTTTCAACATTACGTTCGGACTCCTGGTATCTATCCTCCGTGGTACAATGCTTCAAATTATGTGACGTGTACGATAATTATCGTACGAATGGGATCACTGGTCGTACAAAGCCACAACTCTTGGTGAGCTAGCCCTTTCTTTTTCCCCTCTTCTCTGCACTTCTCTTCTCATCAACCTTTTTCTTGCTGCTCTTACTTTTCTCCTTATCTCTTTCCCCTTCCATTTGATATCCTTTTTATCTTTAAAGAAGTCTACCTACCTGGGATAACCTCTTGTGGGTGTTGATAAAACTCCTATTCGATCGATAAAATAATGTAAATAATGTAAATAAATAAAATTATACAAGAAAATCCTTTTTATTAATTATCTTTATGTATTTAAAGAACTTTTGTATTTATAGAAAAATAACTATTATCTCTAATTCATTTTGAATTATATAAATACAGAGGGACATTAATAATGTATGAAATATATATACTGATGGTAAGATACTAATGGTAAAGAAGAATTTCATATATCGATAAAGTAGTATTTCCTACTGATGGTAATACAGTAGTAGTAAAGAAGAATTTTTTGTCGACAAAGTAGTATTTTCTACTAATGGTAAGGAAGGAATTTTTTTGATCGACTAACAAAGAGTGCGCTTCGAATAATATTCTCTTTCATAACTCGTTCGAATTCTTAAAGGAGTGATCTCTTTCGCAGGACAAATCTTCTGAAAAAAAAAACATCGTACATAGAAGAATCAATACACACAGAAGAACTTGTAGAAGAAACAGATGTATCTAGTGAAAGATCAGAATTTCTATCAGCTGTAAGTTTCCCAGTAAAATGGAGATGCTGGTCAAAAACTACCTGCAAAAAGAAGAAGACATGTAAGACTTCTATTTAAAAATAATTATTTTTTTAAAGTGAAACTTAATGGCTTTTATAAATATAGCTTTCAAGTTAAATTTACAGCGTAAGCTTTTAAGGGAGACACCCACTGTACATAACAAGTTTCACTTTTTTCGTACGTGGAAGCCACGTACAATTTTTAATTAATTTAAAATTAAAACGCGCGCGTATCGTAACATTAATATTATCTTGAAATGTTCTATGACACTGTTCGATATTCGTATTCCAAGGAAAGTTTAGGTACTCGTTCACCATTCGAATTTGTAAATCCTTCTTTTTTAGCATATAAGATCTATCAGTTGTTCTTCGAATATATTCGATCTCATCGAGAGCTTTGAATGTTGGTGCAAGCATGGAATCACGAATTTTAGCATACTCTTCCTTCTCTTCGGTTTCCTCGATATTCTTAGCACTAGTTTTAAGTTTCCTTTGACGTTCTTCAATAAAAAGACCCCAAGCATGATATCGTTGAGTCATTAGAGACATAATTTGATTATCTATTCCTAATGGTGTTACACCAAGTTGAGCTAAATACTTGCTAATCTCGACCCAAGTTTGTCAAATTTTTAATCGAAAATAAAGATTAATGCTAGACATTGTGATCTAATATAAAAATGATTATAATTACGATCTTTCGATAGAAAACATAATTTTATATTATTTTACTTAATCTTCGATAGGTAAAGCATCGTTTAAGATCTTGTAATGGTTTTTAACTATCTCGTATTTTTTTCCATACCTTTTGATAATTTGACAAATAGCATAAATCTTAGATCAAACCGAACCAATCATGTCGATCAATGCAGGACTAACATTGTACGTAAGTTTACTGTGATAAGTGTCGAACCATTGTTTGACACCCATCTGAGGTAACTCAGGATCTACATAAATGAATAATTATAAATAAAAATGTATTAGTTTATTAATGATCAATCGATCATTGAAATTATACCTTCAACTGTGCCATCTGGTCGTATTTTTACACCAATTTCTTTCTCTTCTTCTCTCCAAATCTTTGTTAACAAAGACATGAATCCCTTAGTTTTGTCAATACCACACCAAATGCATAAATAATGACCACAAAATATATTTTCACAAATATCTGATAGCAGACCAAGAAACAAACATCTCACAGGATATGAAGTAACTTCGATCACATCGATTATGGTGTAAACTGTTCCCTTATCGACAAAATTCTTCACATGTATTGGACATGGTACTATGGAGCCCCAAATAAAAGAACCAATTGCTAGAAATAGACTATCATTAATTATTTTTATCTTATTTTTATTCGTAATATTTATTTGATTAAATTTTGTTAAACCTACCGTTGGTCTATGTTGAAATCATCGTATTTTCGATAATAGATACATTTATCTAACAATTTTCTTACGATTCTTATATTTTGGTTTCCATATAAAAGTCGAAGCTCTGATTTACTTCGAATTAGTTCGTCTACAGCGATAAGAATGATTATCATAATTCTTTGATGTTCCATTGTTAATGTACCCAGTGAACACAAGACCTTAAAATGATTTCATACGTACGTCATAAAGTCATCTTCAAATTTTTGAAGTGAAAAGTGACTTTATTTATGACCTCAATATTAAGTCATATGTTCTGACATAAAAATGACGTAATAATTCCTTCATATTCTTACAGCAAAAAACGAAAGGTTAAATTTTTTTTTTTAAACTTTGTATTTTGAGACTATAAATTAAGTATATAATATTGTAAAATTGTTTAATTGCATTAATTTAATTTAAAAAAAAAATTAATTAAAAATTTTTTTTAATTAAATAAAAAAAAATAGGAAACTAACTCAGCTTACTCTGGGACTGGCAGAAATACTCGCAGATTTAGACAAAGTTTTTTTTCTAGAAAATAAAAAAAAATGAAAAATATCGAACTTCGAGAAAATAACGGTTTTTCTCAAAAAATACGAAAATTTCATGGATTTTATAATTTTGAAATGTTTTTGTATTTTTTTCTGAAAAGTACATTTAAAAACAAATATTTAAAAAAAAACGTTCCAATAGGTTGAATTTTAAAGAAGTTATAGCCATTTCAAAGAAAAGAGCCATATTTTTCAAAAATTAAAAATTTTTTTTGGGGTGTGGTAAAAAAATTTGAAATAATTCTGAAAATTGTTTTTCATAGGGTAGCATAGGATAAAAAACTTTCAGCCAAATCGAAAGGGGTCGGGGTCAGAAGTGATTGATTTAACGTGGAATGCCCCATATATATATATATATATATATCATCGAACTTTCATGTGTACTGATTTTTGTCTCTGAATATCTATTGAACGCTTAATTTAATCGCCAAAACATAAGACACCATTTTTATAGATCACTTAATTTCCTACAAAAATTTGTATTGCGCATCTTATAATAGTCATTTATTGTCGAGCTATAAAATTCATAAACAAAAATGAAATTTGTCTAAAAATCATCAAATTTAAATCTTCAATATCATTCAAATGGTGAGGTTTACGGAAAAAATATAAGATACCTTTTTTGTAGAGCATTAAATTTCCTACAAAATTCGTCTGAAACATTTTTCTGTACAATCAATAAATATTGAGGTATGAATTTTATTCTATTGGACTGAGAAAAAAATAAAAAACTGCGATGCGGAGGATTTTCCTATTAAAATTAGGAGCTCATATTTGGTGAGAATTTTTTTAAGGTGTCTAGCAAACCCATTTTGTGAAATAATGAGTCACATGTGACTCATATCTGACTTATATCTTACGTAAATCATGACATCGCGCAAAATCATTTTGACGTCATTTTGACGTAATTGTGTTCACTGGGTATTCATGTGTAAAATACGATCGATAAGATCAAGGAAAAGTGTTAGAATATTTTTTAGACTTGCTTTTATTTTATTTGGAATATTATTGAAAATGTTAACTCACTGAATAGTGTTAGAATCATTTCTTGTTCACGAAAATATTTTAATATGACAGGGTTCTTAGAAAGAACCATGGAACATATTGCTTTGGTACAATTCATCGTCAATTTCGGTTCAAATTCATTCGAGTTAGCGCACCATTTCAAAATTGAGATCAATCTGAAATATAACTTGAAATTAATTAGTAAAAATTTCAAATTAAAATGTTGAATTACTTTTGAGTTCCATCATTGTTAACAAATTCATCCGACATTTTAGATGCCAATAGAGTCAAAGTTGATATCTCGTGTTCAAAAAGATACCAGAATTGAGATGGACTCCAAATAGATTTTGAATTCAAATCAATGAAACGAAGTATTAATGGTAAAATAACTTGCTCGATCATGATCTAAAGAAATAAATTTATTTCAAATATTTTCTCAGGGTAATTTCTACGTTTGTAATAAATAAAATTATTTACAGGGATAGAGGCATTGATTTCGGTTAAATCGGAAATTATTAGTAAAAGTATTTTCAGAAAAACGAGATTTTCTTTGCTAGCAACAAATTTGATATCCTTTGACCAGACATGAATTGTACCAAAAAAACAACCATTAAAAAATGATAGGACATCGTTGGCAATACCACTGCTGATGATGATATAACGTGGAAAAATTTGAAGTATGAGAAGAATAAGCAACGCCATTTCGTTTCGAAGTTTTGCATTCAATTTACAATTCTGACTTTTGTCAACTTGTTTGAATGCATAAAAAAGACCTCTAAAATCAAGATAGAGATTTTACTTGTGATTTTATCGCCTTGCTATATATATATATATATGAAAAGGATAAAGAAAGAAAGGGGATGATACCACATAGCGCATTGTGTTGGAGGACCAAGGTCCTTGAGACCAGCTGGTGCTTCTTTGGAAAGTAAAATAGATCTCGTCAGGTTCCATAAGATATTCATTATCAAAGACATTGTATCGTCTGAGTACTCGTCTCCTTCGAAAGGCTCGTCTGGTGGTNTAAATAAAAGTTATTCTTTCCAAAACTTGGAAATTCTTGTTTTTAATACAATCACAAGAATTCAATAGGCCGAATTCCTACGTTATCCGGAAATCAACGCGAATTTAACTTCACGTGAACATTTCCGCGTAACATATCGACCAATATTTTGTGCGCCGTTCGATTTTCCCCCATGCGCGCCACGTGACCAGCCCATCTTAATCGGCGTGATCTTACGACGTTGATAATGTCCGGTTTGTTGTACAATCGATCATACGAATCAACGTTATGGAGTTTTCTCCCATCCCCCAGACCCGTGGAAAAAGGTGGATTTTAACTCTGGATTTTTCTCCCTTGTTGCATGATTGCATGATTTTTGCACGGCGTTGCGGAATAATCAATTAGAATAGGTATTTAAATTGTATGAAATAAACGCCGTTCATAATCAAATGATGTAATAGACCAGGGGTTTTGTCAGAAAATCAAAAATTTTTTCCAACTTTGTGGCTTACTATTTTTTAACGGCACTACGTGTTTTTTCATTATTTTCGATGGATCTATAGGTGGTAAGAATGCCATAAAAAATCATTTGATAAAAAAGCACCCGGTTATTTTGTGCTTTTTAATTCTCACCTGCACTCAGTTGGACAGCTTACAAGTCACGGCATAGTGCTAAAAATTATTATTTTATGCCTTTCTATCGTCCAATACAGGTTTCCTGCGGGATCATATGACCCATCGATTTTTTAGGTCGGGCGTGTAGACTATTTGTAATTCAGAATATTATTGGTAAACTGATGATTTTTCGCAGCTTTTACTTAAGAATAGGGAGCTAGGGGAAGCTAGTTTTTAGGGCTTTCAGAGTAAATATGAAACAATCATTTAAAATTAGATACTTTTTAAATAAATATTAATATTAATGAATAATGCGTTTCTTTTACAACTATTCTAGGAGAGAAAATATCGTTAGAATTACTGCGATTCAAAACTCGATGATACGAAAAAATACTTTCAAAAAAGGATATATTATATTTACTTTGTTCACGACGAATTATATTTCCTTCAATAAACATCCTACGATTTTATTGTTTATCTATGACTATCGCATTCAGCTCTCCATTTTTATTGCTTGAATTTGTAAAAGTGTAGTTTTTATCGGCTATTCCATCCACTAATCATACCGGTGTCTTTTGTTATATATGGTAATAATTTTAAAATAAATAAATACTACAATTATCTTACTGTTGATACTRTGCACTCGTCTGATTCTGTTGAAACTTGCTTTTTTGCAGGTTTAACTTTTAATTTGCGTGATCTACACACGTAATATTTTATTTTTTGTTATGCAAACGTACTATTACTTATTACGTGCGTACATATATAAGCACGCACACCTGTTTTTTTTTTCATTTTCATAATATTTTTCCATCGGATACTAATGATTACGTTAAAAAAACAAAATAATTACTGTTTCATAATTTGTTGTTTTATTTATGATTTTATTTTTGTACATCTGAATCGGAAAATGTGGATAGATCTCTAAAGATTTATTTTAACTGAATAAATATAATAAAATAAATACTCTATAATTGTTAAAATAAATTATAATAAATAATTATAGTAAGCTCAATTGTAGCTGAATTATTACACCATTTTTTACTCGTTGAATGCCCTCTAATGTTCATTATATCAAACTAAAAATTTCATAGCGTTCTTTTCCACCACTTCCACCTAGGCACGAATAGGGTGTGACTATAAAATATTTACCATTTATAAAAATATAAATACGACTGAGAGTATGCAATGTTATGTATAATATGCGTCATCATTTTCACTTGCATATAAATTTTATTTTGCCTTTTTTTTTTTTAAGTTAACTTAGGTAACGCAGTAACCATAAAAAACTGTTTGTTCGACTTTGAATTTTTACTTCGGTCAATACGTAGAAAACCGAACATTAAAAATGTTTCTCTCACCTCAAGCATTTTGTTTATATTTAGGCAATCATTGATTTCCAAAACAACGCACGATCGTTTGTTCAGACGACATATTAAAACTGTCCGGGCAGCAAGTTTTCTATAATTTGTTTACCTTTTCAACAACATATGAAATAAATTAAAAATAGAAACTTTATAATGATATTTGGAATAATGATAAATCGCTTTATAAGATGAGATATTCGTATCGCAGTTTTGACAAATTCAGAGCTGTTAAGGGTTCATTCTGGTTTATACGCCGAAAAAAAGGCTATTTTCACGATTTTTTTTTTAGGCTTTGTTGGATACATATACATATGAAAGTTGTTGGGTATGATAAATACAGTCTAGAAGTACTAGAAAAAAATTTTTTTTTATTGTTTTTAACATTTTTGGACATTCAAAATGGCTGACAAACGTGAACCCTTCAAAAGTAGGTATGCTGTTGGCGGGCATCGAAATTTGAGAACGGGTGATCTAAAACAAAAAAATTAAACGGTTTTAAATTCAGTATGACAATGGCTATCGGGTATGCTAAAACTATCAATTTTTATGAAAAC